TAGAGCCCTCATGACAATCCCTACTACCACCATAACTCAAACCAGTAAACTGGTGTATGCTACAGCCTCTGTATTCCTAGAGATGCTTGGCTACATGATCAAAAAGAGCAGCAGTACACCCCTACCCCCACCCCCCGGAAAACGAGGTTGGAGACTATGATTAAGGCAACTCGGAGAGAAGTTAGTCAGCTGGTAGAACTACAGAAGGGTGTGGAGATTAAGGATAAAACATGGCTACTGAAAAAAATACAAGGGCCTGACTCCATCTGAAGCCCTAGAGAATGTTAAACAAAGGTTCACAGCACTGGCTGCCAGGCTAAGGAGATACACTAGAGAAGCAGAGGCCAAGAAGATAAATGCCCTGTTTTCCAAAGAACCATCCAAAGTGTACTCCCAACTGCAGTGCAACCACACAGTAACAGCAGAGCTACCAGCAGCAGAAACTGAACAGTACTGGAAGAACATATGGGAGGGCTAAGGAGATACACTAGAGAAGCAGAGGCCAAGAAGATAAATGCCCTGTTTTCCAAAGAACCATCCAAAGTGTACTCCCAACTGCAGTGCAACCACACAGTAACAGCAGAGCTACCAGCAGCAGAAACTGAACAGTACTGGAAGAACATATGGGAGAAAGAGAAAACACATAACACTAGTCCAAAGGACCTGAAAGCAGACCACAGCAATCTCCCAGAACAGGAACCAGTCACCATCACAATAGCAGACATCCAAGACCAGGTCAAGAACATGAAGAGCTGGACAGCACCTGGCTCAGACATGATCCACACCTACTGGCTAAAGAAACTAACAGCAGTGCATAAATCCCTAGCAGCACAGATGAACCAGCTGCCAATAACAGGCTCCCAACCAGACCGGCTAACACAAGGAAGGAAAGTGTTGATCATGAACAACCCCCACAAGGGAACAGCATTGTCCAACTACTGGCCAATAACCTGCCTCCCCACATAGTCACCAGGCTACAGAACTGTATGGACTAGTACTTGAGCACAGCTCAGAAGGGCAGTGGGAACAACACCAGAGGCTCAGTACATCAGTTGCTCATAGATAGAGCAATCACTCAAGACTCAAGGTCTAGGCAGACTAATCTGAGCACAGCCTGGATTGACTACAGGAAAGCCTATGATTCACTGCCATACACATGGATCTGTGAATGCCTGGTGCTATACAAAATCAACAGGACACTAAGGACCTTCTTCAAGAACTCAGTGGGACTGTGGAAGACAACATGGGAAGTCAACTCAAGACAGCTCGCACAAGTGGCCATCAAGTGCAGCATATACCAAGGTGATGCCCTGTCCCTGCTGCTGTTCTGCATAGGCTTGAACCCCCTCAGCCAAATAATCATGAGGACTGGATACAGATACAGGTTCAAGAGTGGAACTACCATCAGCCACTTCCTCTAAATGGATGGCATCAAGCTGTATGCTATGAGTGAATGAGACATCGACTCACAGATCCACCTGACATGGATCTACAGTGAGGACACTGGGATGTCATTCAGACTAGAGGAGTGTGGGCAGATGGTAATAAAGAGGGAAGGTAGTTAAGACTGATGGGGTGGAACTATCAGTGGGCCACATAGCAGACATATAGAGCAGCTACAAGTACCTTGGTATCCCAGAGTCACATGGGAACCATGATGAGGAGGCAAGGCGGCAACATCCAAGTACCACCAAAGGTTAAGACAGCTCCTGAAGAGCCTGCTCAATGGGAAGAACAAGATCCATGCCATCAACACATATGCTCTGCCAGTCATCAGTTACCCTGCCAGTATAATGAACTGTCCAAAGGAGGACATGGAGGCTGCCAATGTGAAGACCCGGAAGCTCCTCACAGTGTACGTAGGTTTCCACCCCAAGTCCAACACCCAGAGACTGTACACCAGCTGGAAAGAATGTGGGCGGGTCTGGTGAGTGTCGAAGCCACTGTCCTGGATGAAACCCAGAGCATCCAGGAGTACATCAGTTAGATGGCACCCAGAGATGAGCTGCTGAGAGAATGCCTGAGACAGCAGCAGACAAGGGAGGAAGTTCAAGGCCCTGCATGGGATGTGCCATCAACAGATAACTGAGGTGGCTGACATTGGGAAATCCTGTCAGGGTCTGGAAAGGGCTGGACTAAAAGACAGCACTGGGGCACTGATCACAGCAGCACAAGAACAGGCACTATGCACCAGATCCATAGAAGCAGGGGTCTACCACACACACACACCCCAACAGAGATATTCCTTCCTTCTAGCACAGTGTTGTCCAAACTTGGCCACTTTAAGATGAGCGGACTTCAACTCCCAGAATTCCCCA